ATCCTTCGGTTAAAGTTCGTATTTACGCAGATGATATAAAGGTATATGGTGTTTATGATGACGATACCAAAGAAAGTATTCACCAGGCCCTATCTCAATCCATTATCAACATGATGGATTGGGCTACGGCTTGGGAAATACCTGTCAACCTTGAAAAAACAGTGGTGCTCCACATTGGGAAGGCTCATAGGTCTCCCTACGCTTTTAATGGAGTAGCACTGCGCGTTTCTGATGATGTCCGTGACCTTGGGTTCTTGGTCAATACAGAACTAGATTTCGAGCCCCACCTTAGGGAAATCGTACAAAAAGCCTTCAAAGCCCTTTTCACCATTTTCAGGAATATTCGTTATAACGACGTGTCACTTTTCCTGAAACTTTATAAGACCTATGTAATACCGATATTGGAATATGGATCACAAATTTGGAGTCCGTACACCAGAAAACTCCAGGCTAGAATAGAGAAGGTCCAACAAACCTTCACAAAAATACTGATGTATCGGTGCTACCCAAACCCAGAGTACCCGTCTTGTATGCCAGAATATAGAGAACGTCTAAAACGCTTCAAACTCAAGAGCTTGCTATATAGACGTGTTTTTAATGACATTGTCTTCTGCTTCAAATTGCTCAAAGGCGATTTGAAGCTGAAGCCAAGCACTTACTGGGTGTTTCGTCCTTCCCGTGGGCGCACCTAGTGTCTTCTCTCTAATATGTCCTAAGCTAACCAGAAAACATCGTAGTAAAGTTTCCAGCTCCTTGATTTTCCGGGGAGCGAAATGGCTTCAGATGCTACCAACGGAGATTCAAAGGGCTCAAAATGTCAGCATTTTCAAGAGGAAGTTGAGGAAAGTTGATCTTTTAGCGCTTCTTGGCATTCAAGACTTCTGATATCCTTGAGGACTTTTTTTTCAGTTATCGGACATTTACTCTGAACGTTTGTCTCTTGCGCTCTAACTGTCAGTTCGACCGATATTTTAGAAGGCTGTGATAGTAGATAGTTGATTTCTGTTTGTTTTTGTTTGTTTGTATTTTTTTTCTTTTTGAGTTGCTTTCACAAATGCTATTCCTATGGAACCCGCTGTCGTTTTTGATTGACCTTAACGGTTTGGGAGGGAAATCTACGTGGATGTCTGCGTTTATCTACAGATTTTCTTCTCTGACTTAGAAGCTCTACTTAGTTGAGTTTTGATGTTATATCCTGGTTTGATATTTTTTTGATCTGTTTTGGGTAATCGTGGATTCTTCGAAACTGAATTGTTAGGGGTAGGGAATACCTAACATCCGAAAATTCAGTTTCGGATTCCGTACGTATGCTCCGAGCTCGTCTAGGAGTGGCGTTATCCCTAGCGCCATCCGCCTATCTGGAGTCATTTTTGGTATCACGTGTTCTGCTCAACGTGGTAACACCAGGTCTTCTCAACAATTTCTTCGATTGGGCAGAAGTTTTGTATGTATGTATTTCCTTTTTGTCTTCCGCGTGGTAAACTCTCCTTTCGCCCTTACGAGTTAAGGTCGGGGTCAGAAGCTGCAATCTCTTTCATTGATCGTGGAACATCTATTTGTGTCTTACTGTTATAGCCGCAAGCTCTGTGTGCATTTGGCAATATAATATACGAATGTCATAAAATAAAATATTCATTACAAAAGAACACCCAGATGATTCTGATTTTTTTCGCTTTTCCTCACTGTTTGATTAGCAAAGTTTGCTTAGCGCTGCAATTTGTTGTATCCAGAACCTTGTCGAGTGTACTATACTGAACAAATATCACGTACTCAGTCACGTTTTTAAAGAAAAAAAAAACAATAAACACAGGCAAAACAAGCACAGTTTTTTCTAATGGTTAGCTTGAGAAGAATCATTTGCTTGCTGTTGTTTTCATAGTGTCCTCCTGAAACCCGGATCAACCGTCCATTGCAAGGCCGAGTCTGATGAAGGAGGTCGTATATTATGATTTTGATGAAGGCTCATTATTCCGTGAGACAGATTCGGTAAGACAGCTGGTAATAGGAAGGAGTTTGTGAGAGCTGGGAAGAAAATTAGCACTTGTTATCCTGGCAGAGAGGAGATCGTGGGGCCGTTTCGCCGTCTATTTTATTTGCCGTGGCACTCAGGTATCAAGGAAAGGTCTAGCACAGTACTTGCCCTCCCTCACCCACCGCTCTAGACGACGTGACTTATTGGGAAAAGTAGAGAATAGTGTTTCACATGAGGATTTCTGGCACTTTCAAGCCCACTGCACTAGTTATTGTAGGAAAGAGAGGGGTGGCAGAGAATGTTGCAGGAAAAGGAGAGGAGGGGAACTGTGCTGACTTCAAAGTTGAGATGAAATGACGGTAACCCTCTTCTGCTTTTCAGCATTATCGTTCTCGCTACGAACCAGAACTAAGAAGTTGGAGCATACATTGGAGACGCGACCTAGTATTCAGGGTTAATAACACTCTGAAAGTGTTCGCAGCAATAGAAACGAGGCAGTCGGTCTTGTAAGCTGAAGCTGCTCGTTGATTTAATGTATGACGTGATGTGGTTTGAATGGTAATTCTGACGAGGACAGAGGAAGGAGTGATGGGAAAACAGATTCTGAACGTTATGGAAACAGACAACTTGAAAGAACTGCAGTGCGTATCTAATCGAAGCGGCGATTCTCAGGACGCAAACCTCTAATGTTCGCGCACTCGTAGCTACAGGGGGAGGGCCCAAAAAAGAAATTGCGTCCAGGTCGCACTTTGGCCTTTTTTCTTCGCGGAGATGGTGTGCCGTACAGTTTGAACGGAAGTTTCCTTTAGCATTAAATATTCTCTAAAGCGTTCCTCAATATAATTACCTTAACTGCGCGCCTCCTAGTCACTTATTCTGCATGGCCCGTCTCTGGAATGTAGGACTGCCAATGCTGTTCACCGGAGTGCTTTGAGACTCAGGGAGGACTACGAGCTGAGATGCTTAAGCCTAAAGCTATTTACACAATCTCTGTAGATCTGATTAAAAGTGGGAGATGTTTCCTAGGGCACATTGGCCGATCTAGTATAGCATAACCTCGGAACCGCCTCCGAGAGATCCGGTTCGTGACGGTAATAGCGATGCATAAATACGAGAGTCACCCCAGTTTTTTACGCACGATACTATGGGTATATGTTTGAGCGGGGACAAACTTTTGATGGCACGTCACGAAGTATGGCTACATTGAGAGTATTTTGTATGAGGAAATACGCTCTTTCTGGAGTTCTCAGTATGGGAGCACGCGTGTGTAAGCGAGGCAAAGTGGATTGACAATCTATTTGATGTATTGAGACAACAAGTCCCTTTTTAATGCCCCCCTCCTGTATAACCTCGGGATTGTGGTGGGGATTGGAAGCCTTCCGCTGTGGCCTTACTTATTTTAATATCTCTGGAGGTGAGTAATAGGACGGACACCAACCATGCGTACGTTCCCTCCTGGGACTAGACTACTCAAGCCAATCCTCTACATCGAAATTGACTAAGGTTGACTCAACTTTACTATCTATTGAATAGTCGATTCCCGCACCATGACCAGTTCAAACTCCTCCAAAATAGAAAATACGGCTCCGTTGGTGCTTGTACAATACTGCTCTTAGTGGATGGCTGTTCACAGTAAGGATTCCAATTGATTACTCATCCGTCAGTTTCGGATCCTTTCCTAAGTTCCAACCCTTGCACCCACTCTGTATCTCTTATTAGCGTAATGTTATATCCTGCTCATATACGAAATAGTGGAGTTTGATTAACTCTATCAATAATTTCAATTCAGAGAATCGAAAAAATAATGAGAGTTAGAAAATACATTTTCATGAAAGAGTATCGGAAATCAAAAGTCGGAACAAAGACACAATTGCTAGGCAAGTTTTTTAAGTTTGTTCATCTTCTTTTCGATTGCTGCTGGGTATCGTTCCTGTCGACTGATGGATCGCATAATGAAATCTGATATCCATGAGGGAAGAAGTGAGATCGGTACGAACAGCAAAATCGCATCCCAACCGCAGTAGTACCTAAACGGACAAATTTTCGCATCAGTTTGATCTCAAAAAAAGAATAAAACTTTTTAAATGAACAAGGCGTTTATGGAAAATTCAGGATAAACACATAAGAAACTTTGTGCCAAGTATAGTCGGCCCAAATGCGCCACGCGTTTAAGTTCCAGTGCAAATCGTGCAAAATGAGGGAAAACCAACAAGATCCAACTAGATCGACTGCCGCTGACAGGTGTAGGCCAGGAAATCCGATTGCGGCAGCATGCTCGAGGCCCGATGATCTCTTCGCTGCGGCTACTGTTGGACATCACTTGTGATGCTCCTAGTACTACGTCCCCGCAATCCTTGACAAGGCTCAACTATGACATCGATAGAAATTTGAGGGTACCCGACAGGAGGCCCGTCGCGCGGCAAGAAGGCAGAGTCAGCGGACGAGTGCAGCGCGTGATGTGCGATGTAGGACGTACAATGGACATTCTATTTAACTTGACGCGAAATCCCTACAGTACGCGCTGCGACTCGTCCGCTGACTCTGCCTTCTTGCCGCGCGACGGGCCTCCTGTCGGGTACCCAAATTCGAGGAATACAAACCATTGAAGGGATCCACACTACACGCTCCATCTACTTTCACCACCTTGACTGTCTCTATATTCTGGCACCAGATGACACCCATCGACCCCGACCCTGAAATCCCTTAAAAATGCCCCAGTTCGCGAAGAGGGACGCGACGCAGAGGTGAGGGAAAAGCGAGCATGTGTATGTGAAGTGGAAAATCCTGCATCGTTTCCATTCTCTCGCCAGGAATCGATCTCTTACGACCTTACGGACTCCCTTAATACCGCATTCTCCTTCAGAAACCACAAATACGACCCTATCCGTTGATAAATTGTCAGCGGACGGTTGACCTTTCTTGACCTACTCCACAGGCATCACATTGACTCGTATTAAAGCAGCGAGCCAAATCAGCGTCTAGTTTTATTATCGCGTGAAAAGCGAAGGATTAAAGATTGTATGTGTACTCTGCTTCAATGTGAACCAAATGACACACTCCATAACTCGCAGAAGTGCTAATATGAAGCGAGAGGGGGATTATAGCTGATTATCACCCACTTCATTAAACTTTCAACATCTATACTGATAGTTTTTTCTATAGATAACTTTTGGATTGAGGATCTCACCGATGTCTTGGAAACAAGGCTGTGAGGGCATGCATGTAATTATCAACAACATAATATGTCTTCGTCGAACTCAATGTGAAAAACAGCTCGTTCCATAGCTTTGCGACTGAAATACAACAGAGTGATTTTAGAAACTTTCAAATCAATAAATAAAAATACTTTGAGAAGTTCATTGAGTTCCTATTCGTAAAAACATCCAAAAGCATGATGGTAAAATAATGGTTTGTGAAGCCGTGGGCTTGAGTTTCCTTCTGAATCTGGGATTGAGCAAGGGATGAGATATCTGTGCTAGCGTTGAAGCTCAAAGGAACAACCCAAGCAGAAGTCCTGTGAACGATACCTTCCAGTCTGTAGATAGACCCCTAGAGGGCAATTTCAGGTGTGACATTCCCGTGCGTGGAAATCACCCAGTAAAAGCGCTAGGGGCCTTGCAAAGTGAGTTGCAGCAGCTGCAACTTTTTGCTTCTATCAGGCATTTATTCGTGTGCAAGATCCACACCAATTTAATCCTGGGATATCCCTTCAACCTTGGTACGCTTTCTGCTTCTATACTGTACTTTTATCTTATTGACGACCACCGTGGTGCGTGTATTGCAGCACTCGATTGCAGTTTTGTAGATCCCTATAATGCACGCGGACCATTTCAGAAAGCAAAAAAATGCTAAAAAATTAAGCAAGCGAGTCTTCCTTGTAAGAAAGTGTGGCACAACATCGTGTCACGCTGGATGTGTTGAAGGAAGCGTATATGATAGAGGGGCGCAACGGGGACGCATGTGCGCCACATGAAGCAGTAGCTTGACTGCCAAGGGAGCGAAGTGTGGCCTTTCACGACGAAAGGTGTGCTGGTTGCTCAGCGGTACTTGAGAAACGTTCCGCATCAAAAGCGTCCCACCTTAGCTTATTTGGTGATTGAGGCGAGTTGTGTTGCAGTCAGCAACTCGACTGGAGCCCGGTTTGGCATGGTGCCACCAAAACGTAGCGGTGAACTCGTCCATACGTCCGCCGTCTTAGCCGCTGCCCGTTCTTGGGCGAATCAGCAGTACGAAGAAGGGGCCTCATTTTGCGTTGCCTTGTCGGATTTTTCTGCATTTTTCTCGCCACTAGTTTACTATCGAGCACTCCCACACAGGGTCAACTGTCCGTTCGCACCGTTCAAACGAGGGAGCGCTTCCACGATTTCAAACAGGGTGGGGGTCGCATTTCGGAGTTGAGTAGGTTGAGTAAATTGAGAAATTCTGAATAGAGGTCGTAAAAAGGGGAAGAGGGGTTGTATTTGACGGGTTCCAACAGTTTAAGCGGGGTAAAGTTAGATGGGTAAGTGTAGATTTGCCGCCTCATGGTACCAATTTAGGGGTCGCATCGACACTTTTTGGAGGGGAGGGGATCGCAAAATTTTCGGAAAAGTGCAAACGTCACAGTTGACCCTGCTCCCACATCCCCTTCACACCCCGGAACTTATCTTAATCTATGCCTTTGATTAGTGTGAGCTAGTCTGCGACACTGAAACACTTACAGTAACTCCTGTAATACTCTCCGTATTCCTCCTTGGTTTCATCATCCAGCTTTGACCACGCCTAAAAAATTAGGCTACAGAGGTGTCACTTCTCACTACAACAAATAAGGCAGTCTCAAATGACTGCACATGTGTCAGAAAACCTGGAACAAGACGTGCACAGGTAGCAAAATACCAACAACTTCGAGCCGATTTATCATGGCTTGTTCGTCGAGAAGAGGCGTTCGGAAGATGCCTGGCTCGAGTATGCAGACATTTACGCCGTTGACATACAACTCTTGCCTTAATATTACGTATTTGAATCAGGTTTAATGTCAGAGGATAGAAGAGAATAATCATCACTACATTCTCACTTATTCGGTAACTAAGGGGTGCTGAAAAGCCGCATGAGGTCGCGGCAGAACA